GAAGTCCATCCCTCTGTTCCATGCTCCGGCTCCTGGTTCTGCCGCTGCTCCTCTGATGTGGCTGTCTTCTGGATCCGGGAGGTTCACTGCACAGGGACCTCGGGTCCAGAGGATGCCCGCTTGCTAGCAATGAGATCCCTTCTCTCACTTCTCAGAGGGCTCATTTTATGTACAGCAAGATTGACACTCCAGGGAATCCTGTTCACAATTACTCAAAGGTGAATCCTATCAGGGTCTTCCCCCACCTTCTTATCAGACCCATGCAGGGAAAGTTCATTTGGTGGGAGGTAGAGACTGGCTAGAAGAGCCACAATAAATAGTTCACTGGCACTACCAGTGCACTACTAAACCTGGGTTTCTCGATATTGCTTACTTTATTCAAGTGAGATCACATAGTATGTGCCCTTTTTTGACTGGTTTATTTCATGAGACATGTTTTCTAGGTCCGTCCATATTGTGGTAGGCATCAGGACTGTTTCTCTTCATGGCTGAGTGGTATTCTGTCAGGTGCATACACTCACTCCTCATTAACATGATTATGTTGCAAAGACCAGGCCTTTCGGTGAAAAATTGGTTTTATGTGAAAATGGAGAATGACCACTTCAGATTACAAAATGGAGGATGACTAGATCATCACATAGCTGCCAAATGACAGCATTGTTTACCTGCCAACTTCTGTCAATTAACAAGTGCCAAATTGCATCAGTATCTAACTGCCGAACTACACATTGCATAACTGTAACATCCCATCCTTGTATAACCATCACAGCTAGCATATTCTGGTCTTGTACCTCAGTGTTCTCTTTTTCCAGATAAACAAACAAACACACAAAATTCACTGCCGTCAAATCGACACTGACTCATAACAACCCTCTAGGACAGGGTAGAATTGCCCTTGTCAGTTCCCAAGACCTCACTCTTTACGGGGCTAGAAAGCCCTGCCTTTCTCCCAAGGAGCAGTTGGTGGTTTCAAACTGCTGACCTTGCAGTTAGCAGCCCAATGTGTAACCACTATGCTATCAGGGCTTTTGCCAGATACACATTGTCAAGTCATTGGGTAGTAGGTTTTTATTATTGCTGTAAATGAGAAATGTTGGGTGTGAGATGGTTGACAAGCGAAGAGTATGGATACACTATATTTGCTGATCCAGACATCTGTTGATGGACGTTCTGATTGCTTGTGCATAGTGTGATGCAGCTCATAGCACTGCAGCGAGCCTTGGTAGATGGGCCTAGTCCACATTCTTAACCTTTCTGTGTGTGCTTCTATCTGGCCATTTCCAACACAGTGCAGAAGAAATATGTTGCTTTGATCACAGAAGCCTGAAGTTACAAAGTGCGGGGTGTGCTTCCTGTAGGGGCAGTCAGAAAGCCGAGGAAGGAGCCAGGAAAAATTCAAGGATGGCTCTGAGCAAGGTGCCCCCATATTCTCCCTCCCAACCTGCAGGGGGTGCTACACTTACCATGAAATTCCACTCCAGCCCAGCCTCTTTCAAGTGCTGGGCTTTACCCTTCCCAGAAATTCTCAGAGAAACCCGGTAAGCCATAAGGCAATGAGAGCCAACACCCAACACGAAGATTGCCGCTCCAGCCCGTCAAAAGCCTGAGCATCTTCTCCAGTGCTTTCCTTGCCGAGAATATTTGAGAGGTGAGTCTGTCACCTGTTTCAAATGGATTTCATCCATTCCATCATGGATTCAGGTAGAAGGCCCTCTTTTCCCCCAACTTTCCCCCCTACGGCTTCCAACGCCAAAGATGACCCACTAACCATCCCTGCCCTGGCCTTCCCAGAGCTCATGGGATGGCTAGGTACCATCGAGTCTGCTCTGACTCAAAGCCACCTGAGAGGACAGAGTAGAACTGCCTCACAGGGTTTTCTTGACGAGCCACTGTGGAAGCAGATCACTAGTCTTTCTCCCAAAGAGCCCCTGGTTGGATGTGAACCACCAACTTTCTGGTAAGCAGTCAAGTTCTTAACCATTTGTGCTACCTGGGATAACCCAGGTCATCGTGGGTTTTCAAAATGGTATCAGTTGCTGTTGGCCAGATGCTGACTCATGGTGACCCTGTGTGTGCCACAGGATTTTTCTTACAAATTTTGTGGGTCTCTCGTTGTGCGCGTTTGTATTTATTATGCTCACTGGTTCTTGGTCTACTGTTCCCTTGAGCATTATATAGTGCCCCTCCTTGTCTCTTGTTATGTCCTGTATCTTGAGATCAGTTTTGTCAGATATTAAGATCGCTACCCCCTGCTTTTTTGCATTGCCATTTGCTTGGTATATTTTTCTCCAGCCTTTAATTCTCAACCTGTTTTTGTCTGCAAGCTTGAGATGTGTCTCCTGTAGGCAGCAGATCGATGGGTTATGTTTTCTGAGCCAGTCTATTAGCCTCTGCCTTTTAATGCCTGAGTTCAGGCCATTGATATTCGCTGTTATTACATCCATCTGTGGACTGTGTGATGTCGTCTTGTACCTTTTGTGTTGGGTATTTTCCTACCTAGCTCTCTTTTCTGCTTGTGTTGTGTGTGTGGTTTATTTTTGCCATCTTTCCACTATTGAGCCAATGCTATCCTGGCGGCTGTTTTCTCTTCGTTGCCCTGTGGGTGGAGTTGTTCTATGTGATGGTCTCTCATTTGCCCTCGGCCACTGGATTTTTCACAGGTGGATTTCTCACTGGTGGATTTCTTCCAGCCCACCTCTGGATGGGCTCAAGCCTTTAACCTTTGAGTTGTTTTTCTTGTTATTGTTAAAACAAAACCCAAACTCCCTGCCATCGAGTCGATTCCGTCTCATCAGGACATGTCAAGTGGGTTCTGTCAAGCACCGCCTGGTCCTGCGCCATCCTCCCAGTGGTTGTCAGGTTTGAGCCCATTGTTGCAGCCACTGTGTCCGTCCATCTTGTAGAGGGTCTTCCTCTTTTCTGCTGTCCTTCTCCAGGGACTAGTCTCTCCCGTAAGCATGTCCTAAGTACAGGAGACAAAGTCTCACCATCCGTGATCCTAAGGAGCGTTCTCTTCCACAACTGATTTGCTATTCTAGCAGTCTGTGGCATATATAACATTCTTCGCTAATTCAAAGGCATCAATACTTTCATCTTATTTCTTTCCATTAGCAGCCCGTTATCATAATAAAACCATTTGGTAGTAAATTATATTAACTCATGAATAAGATCACCTTGCTTAGAAGCGGCGTTTTAAGTAGACATACTCCTGACTGTAGCATGGCACCTTCCTCCTGAGCCTTGCCCTTCTGTGTTCCATTCCACTTGTGCCTTTGATTCAGGGAGGAGAGGCTGTTCTGCCTCCACCTGCTGAGGAACAGCCACCCAGGTATGGCTTCTCCTCCACTCCTCAGCATCCTCCCAGACTGCAGTGCTTCTCAACCTTCCGAATGCCACGATCCTTTCATACAGTTCCTCATGTGGTGGTGGCCCCACAACCGTAAAATTATTTTCATCACTGCTACTTCATCACTCTCATTGTGCTAGTTATGAATCGGGTGACCCCTGTGAAAGGGTCGTTCGACCCCCAACGGGGTCGCAGCCCACAGGTTGAGAACCGCTGCTCCCAGAGGGGTGAGAGGGGAAAGTTAAATTCAGCCCCTGGGTTCTGGAAGCTTCCCACACCACCCACTTCTCTCCTTTTCTCCCGCCTCTCTCCCTCCACCGTCCACCAGCCCTGGGCACTTGGGAGCACCTTGCTAAAAGACAGCCCTTCACCCAGACCAATGCCGGCCACTGATTAACTAAGGCTTTGATCTCCCCGTTCCTCCGGGTCTGTCTTTAAGAACAAGCCGATGTTCTATCACATGCATGGAGCTCTCGGGCTGTCAACAAGGCCTGCCTTGCACATCTTACTGCTGACAGGATGGATTCCTGATTACATACCGCTCTGTCCTCCCGGACAGAGGACACTGGCCCTGCTCGGCATGCCACAGGCCAGCCAGCTGCTGCAGAGCCAACCCCAACTGCTGGCAACCTCATGTGCATCAGAGTAGAACGGTGCCCCGGTCGGTGGCTGCTTTCTGGGAAGCAGATCTTCAGGCCTTGGTGATGAGATGTCTCAGCGCGGATTCGGACCTCCAGCTGAGTGTGCCGCTGGGTGCACACCGAGACTCCTGGTGCCCTGTTCCCAGAGGCAGAGACCCATAGAGGCTTCCTGTGCTGCTGGCATCTCCCCCCACCCTAACAGCTGCAGCAACTGGGGTGACCCGTGTACACTCACAGTGCCTGCTGTGCCGGGGCTGGGGCCCATCGCGAGCTGGGCAGAGCCCGCGGCCGGGCTGTTCTCCCTGTTCACAGAGGAGCACGGGTAGTGTCTGGGGGTTGGGTATGTGCCAGCTGGGCGGAGCTGAGATTGGGACCCAGCAGTCTGGGCCCTCGCTGGCTCTTCCGTAGCCTCTCTCCAGAAGGAGCTCGTGTGTGGCCCCTGCTCTGGGAGGGGGTGTAGATGAGTAGGTTGTGCACAGCCCCCTGCAGTTTGGGCTGTAGCCAGCTGTTCTCATGCAACTGAGGGGCCGGAAATAGCCTCCTGGGGGCTGAGAGGTGGGAGACCAGGACTCCTCAGTGCACTTACCAGTGCTGAGTCTTGGGCAGAGCTGAACTGGAATCAGGTGACATGGGTCTCTTGAGGTGTCCCCTCCTGCGGCCTGTGTCAGTGGGTGAAGGACACTTCCCCTTGTTAACTTTCCAGGGAGGTTGTCCAACCTGGACTTTGGAGGGCTTGGCTCGTCCTCTCGGAAGAGCATCCCTGGTCATTTCTGCCATGGCTGCTGTTGGCTAGGTCTCTGTATGGCCGATAGGCTGCTGGCTTCACCATGGAAGAAAGGCCTGGTGATCCCCTTCCATAGAGAGCCCAGGACTGAAACCCTGCAGAACACAGCTCTACTCTGACACGAGGCCACCGCGAGCCGGAATCCACTGGTGATGGGTTTAGTTGGGGCCATTAGTTTTCCCGGAAGCCTCGGCCTGGCCTCAGTGACTGCTTTCCTGTTATCCCTCAGCTGGGGTGTCCCTCTGGCCGTCACCGTGGCTGCTGTCTTGCTAAAGAAGATCGGCTACGATGCCTCGGATGTGTCTGTGGGCTGGTGCTGGATCGACCTGGAGGCCAAGGACCGCGCGCTGTGGATGCTGCTGACCGGGAAGCTGTGGGAGATACTGGCCTACGTCACGCTGCCCGTGATCTACATCCTCATCAGGAAGCACATTAGCAGGGCGGTAGGTGTGCCCCCGAGGAGCCCTGGTGGCATAGAGGTTATGCATTGAGCTCCTAACCACAAGGTCAGCAGTTCAAAACCACTAACTGCTCTGCAAGAGAAAGACAGGGCTTTCTACTGTTGTAAAGCGTTCCAGTCTCGGAAACGCATAGGTGCAGTTCTACCCTGTCCTGTAGAGGTGCTGGCTGGTAGAGGTGGCCAGCCACCCTGAAGGCTGGCTGTGTCTCTGAGGACAGGGCTAGGAACAGGTCAGAGTGACCACACACTTCATCACATGGGCTGCCTCACTGTTACTGATGTAGCTCTTCCCGGATCCGGCTGGGGCTTGTTCTCCCGTTGTGGGTGGGAAACAAGTCTACAGGGATTAGGGCCCTCTGGCTCAGATACCAGCCGCTCCAGGGAGTGAGCTGCCCTCAGAACCTGTGGGCTGAACCGTAGCCCTCCACTGCCCCCTGTTGGACAGGTAGGGAGTGCCTTAAACTTGAGAGGAATTTAGATGAAAGGTGAGAGAGAATGGATCCAACTTAAGAATCAACCTAATAAGATGCCCCTGGGAAGGGAGGCCTGTGAACTGTCATTATCAGCAATCAACCCACCTAATTAGCCTTAGTCACTAAAACTAAGTAATAGTGGTGCCTTACTGCTACTGCTACTGGGTGGTGCCAACTGCTACTGGGTGGTGAATTGGAAGGCTGGAGGTGTGAGTTCACCCAGAGGCGCCTCAGAAGAAAGGCCTGGCGGTCCACTTCTAAGAAACCAGCCCCTGAAAGCCCCTCCGAGCACTGTTCTGCTTTGACACCATAGGGTCACCTCGAGTTGCAATCAACTTGACAGCAACTAGTCTTTAATCAAAGGTAGACTTTTCAGGCGCCCAGGAATTCAGAAGTCCGTAGGTCAGGCTGCCAGATAGTATAGCAAAAAATAGGTTTCCTCTGAAAAACTCATTCCGGCGGTTTCTTGGTCTAACTACTAGCTCGGCAAGTGTCATCTGGCTGCCTTCTAGTCACAAGCAAACTCCTACCAACCAAGGCCTTTGATCAATCTGCCGGGCCATTCAGCGAAGACGCTTGGACTGAGCATCTAGTGTGGGAGAAAGATGAGGTATTCTACTCCCGCGGAGAGTTACAGTCTTGGAAACACACAGGGACCAGTTCTACCTTGCCCTAGACTGCAGTGGTTCTCAACCTTCCTCATGGTACGACCCTTTCATACAGTGCCTCATGTGGTGGTGACCCCCCAACCATACATTATTTTCGTTGCTACTTCATCACTGTCATTTTGCTACTGTGATGAATCAGACCCTGTGAAAAGGTCGTTCAAGCCCCAAAGGGGTCGTGACCCACAGGTTGAGAACCGCTCCCCTAGAGCATCGCCAGGAGTAGAACTGGCACAGTGGCCTTGCCCTAGGTTTGGCGTGCACACAAAAGTTCAGAGTGAATTTATGTTGGGCTCAGTCCCGCCCTCTTAGAGAGAGGCAGCAGGTGAGCGAGCAGGGCGTCAGAGTGCAGATGGCTGCTCTGAGTTAGGCGTGGTGTTCAGTTGCTGAGTTTGCAGAGGCTGTGATGCTAGGTGGGCATGTCTGTCCTATAGGGGGTGCTCTCGGCTCTGCAACCTCCCTGAGCACGTCCCCTCTGGCAGCTCTCTGTGAGGTCAGAACACCTAATCTCCCAGGGCTCCTGTGTTCCCCAGCCAGCCAAGCTAGACTCCGGGTCTCTGCCAGCCCTGCAGCCAGACTTAGGGATTGATCTGAAACCCTTTTGTCTCCATGAAAGTCTGTCCTGATGGCCTGGGCCAGAGTGCCCAGTCCACTGTTGCACTGGCCCCCAGGAGCCCTGTCTCCTGGAAGTGTCCTTCCAGGGTGTCTTCTTGTTCACTTCAAGAGGTGAGAAGCCAGGGCTTAGAGGGTGTGCCTACAAGGCTGACCCCTGCATGTGAGTGACCCCGTTACACAGTGCTTAAGCACTCGGCTATGAATCAGAGGTTGGCCATGGGAAGCCACCAGCTGCTGGCACTTAGGGTTGTAGGCTTCTTTAAAAAGGACCAACTGGGAAGCCTTACGGGGCAGTTCTACTTGGCCACACAGGGTCACTGTGGGTCAGCATGGATGAGCAGCACCCACCGACCACCATAGTGGGCAAGAGGGGTGAATGTACATGGGGCTCCTGCCCCTCCCTGGACAGCTACACACAGATGAGCTGGGAGCACACGGACTTTTCCCTAAAGAGCAGCCCAGCCGACCCTAGCTGGGCAGCCCCTCCCCAGCCCTGAAGGGAACCAAGGAGGACAGGCAGCACTGGTCTGGGTTGCTGCTAAATGTCCCGGATGAGAAGGGGGCGGCGTGTCACTGAAGCCTTGCTAGTGTCCGCTAACCAGGAGCTCAGTGTGGACCAGGCTCAGAAACACATCTTTATTAGGACTCGTTTCATCTGTTAGTGAAGTTACAGGGGGAGGCCAAGGCTGACGGTTCCTTGTATTTGGACTAGAATTCTCTTTGTAGCCATACATACACGCACATGCGCGTTCACCTTTGCCACGGAGAGTGCTGTGGCGGTAATTTGCAATAAGCATGACCAACAGAAACAAGTGGAAGACATAGGATCAAGGACAGTCACTCCAAACCTCACAGCCACGGAGAAGGATCTGACTGACATCGAGCCTATAGGACAGGGTAGGACGGCCCCCGTGGGCTCTGAGACTCTTTGTGGAGCAGACAACGCGCCTCAGCTGTCAAGGTTGGAGGGACACAGGCCTTTGCAGTTGAAGCCCGGCTTCCAGGCAGCCGGGGAGTTGGGGGTTGGGGATGGGGGGAAGGTAAGGCAGTGAGCTGTGTACAGGAATGGTCAAGCATCGCAGGTACACAGAACTGTCAGTGCGAAGGCCTTCAGGTTGACGGGGTCGTGCCTGGCCTGTGTGGGGCATCTCAGAGCAGATGTCTAGAATAAAGACTAGGCGAGAGGTAGGAATGAGCTCAGAGCTAGAGTGGGGTGGCGCTGCCGGGGTATTATAAGGAGTGAATGTGGACAAGGGGGTGCCTCTGATGGGGCCTCTGGGGAGGAATGGTGTGACAGGACTGGGTTAGTGGTCCTGTGCTGCTTTGGGGCTAGGAACAGGTGTGCGGAGGGAAGTCAAGCCCAATGGCAATGTGGGTGGGCTCAGGCGTGTTGGAGTCTGGAGCTCACGGGCACCGAGTTGGGAATCACCCGTGTGCAGATGGGAAAGGCCTTGGTGTACATACCCACGAGGGTCTGGGCCTCCCCTTTGCGGGCATGTCCAGAGCCGGAGAAGATTCGGCGGCCACCGCAGGTCTGCTCAAGTGGGCCCGTGTCCCCGCCCAGCACGCAGCTCTCTCCGAGTACCGGCCCATCCTCTCGGACGAACACCAGCGGCCATACTACACCTCCGCGGCTGACCGGAAGCTGAGCCTCATCCCGCTCATCTTCATCTGCCTGCGCGTCTGGAGCACCGTGCGCTTCGTCCTGACGCTCTGCGGCTCCCCGGCTGTGCACACGCCCGTGCTCGTGGTCCTGCACGTAGGTCCCCCTGTCGCCCAGCTTATTGATCCCTCTGGGGGGTGGCTGCTGTGCAGCCAGGTCTCTGCCCCAGGCGGAATGCTGGCCTGCGCCTCCCCTGCTGCGTGCCCTGAGGGAGAGACTTGGGGCGCTCCCTGGGGCTCACACAGCCTGGTTCTGAGCTCC